ACACAAAGTACCCGGCGAGGGTTTGACAGCAGAGAGGTGGTGCGACAAATTTGCTTGTGCTCTTCAACGAGGGCTGCAGCTTGTCATCAAAGACGGAAGGTTGAAAGCAGCGGCCTTGCTGCTTGCCCGGCAGGAAACCGACCTAGGCAGGGCGCATGGGTTTTCAAGAGCGAGTTACTCGCAAGGAAAAGCTAGGTTGAAATACTTCGAGAGCACATACAGAGAAAGGTGCCAGACCGTCTTCCGATGGCTGCCACGCATTCTCGTGGTTGCATCCAGTCCCTACAGTATCTGAACCCCGAGAATCGGCCACGGAGAAAGGTACGTAGGTGAGAGGCGGAGACATGGACAAAGAGATTTGCATGTAGTTATTTTGGCTCAAGGGTTGCCGTGCTGTGCGAAGGAACTCACCCTTCCAAACTTCCAAGGGCGCAGTTTGAAGTTTGGGGGGGGGGGGTTGATGGGGGTTACTTCCGTTTGCTTCCAGCATCTTTTAGCTGTGCTTGAGACCAATGGCCATATCCTTGACTGGCACCCCGCCAGTGACATAGCAGGCTGCAGCACGTCTGACAACAGAAGCAGCGGCACTCCTCCTCACGGCAATAGCACCAATAGAACTTCGGCCGAAGTCGAACTCTTTTCTGCGCAGTTTGGGCATTAGTTCCATGGAGCATTCGATGTATGTGAGCCATGTGCAACCCTTTTGATGCACATGCGAGTCGACCTTCAATCAAGCGCGCCTATGTAAACGTGAATTGCAGACTCATGTGGATGCGCTGTTTTGTATGCAAGAAGTCTCTGTTTGAGTACCAGTCTTGGCTGTGCAAATCCTTTTCTACTCTCGTTAACATCCGCAGTAAAGCCACAACAACCAAACCAAGCCAAGCCAGTCGAATGACTGTCTCCCTCGGGGCGTGAATCCGAAGAGTCTTTAAGGGTCTTTAGCCTGCATAGATTGTATGGTATATATGCACACGGTCAATGTATCCAGACATGCGAATCACGCATGTAACAACATATGTGATGTACTGATGCATGTATGTACACACACACATGCATACAGATAGGTATCTTGTGTAGCTACATATTTGTACAGACAGCGTGTTTGTCCTCACTGCAGCCATCTGCAGCTTGGGGTAGCAGCTTGCGGCAGTTTCACAAGTGGGGAGGCTGCAACATATTTATCCGCGCCGTGCTTTGGTGAGCTTTTCAAGTCGAGCTCTTTGCAGCATCGCCTGCATCAGGGAGCTCCATAGATTGGACTGTGCTATGGCAGCTTTACCTCTGTGTACCACAACATCTCGCAGGGATGCAGCCCTGCGCCAGACAAGCGCTTTGGGAGACTCTAGGCCTTCACACGGACGCCACGTGGTTGGGTCAAGGAGCTTTGTCAATGCTTTTGCCACCGCCGGTGCTTGTCGGGCGATACGCCGTTCCAGCAAACACATGGCTCGTGGCACCAGAGCCGTGTCGCGAGCCTCGAGCGTGCCCCAAGCTGTGCGACTTGTCTCCGTGAAGGAAGGGCAGCTCGTCATCGATGATGCGAGTCTCCTCAGACTTGTGACAGCGCTGCAGGCTTCATCTTGCACGCACATAGCGGTGATTTCGATAGCAGGCGCCCTGAGACAAGGCAAGTCCTTCTTTCTGGACTTGTTTGCAAGGTACTTGGAGTCTTCTGATAGCTGGTTGGCAGAATCTCTGCAGGATCACCAGCGGTTTCATTGGAGCTCGGGGATGGAACGAGTCACTGATGGCGTTTGGGTTTGCCCGCATGTCTTTCAGGTGCCGAGCTCCGAGAAGACGCGAGTTGGTATTCTGCTCATGGACACTCAAGGCACATACGAGCCCGGGGCGACCCGCTGGCAAAACGACTCCTTGCTTGGACTGGCTGGGCTGTTGTCCTCAACGCTCCTTTTCAATATTTCCAAACAGCTCCAAGAGGACACCGTTGAAGATCTACAGGCCGCGATGGACATGTTGCAGATGACCTGTCGCCAGCACGGTCGACCGCCGCCCCGCCCAGACTCCAAAAATCTAACATTCTTGGTGCGGGATTGGGCCCACGCAGATCCCCAGGAGCTGCTCTTTGAAGATGACTTGGCCACAAGTCAGGGGCTGCCCATGAGCGACCAGGAACAAAGTGTCCTGGCAAGCTTTGTGCATTCAACCACAGCAGGGCAGGGCCTGGGGCAGTTCTTCGAATCACTACACTGCCGAACACTGCCACACCCAGGCCACATTGACCGACCTGGTTGGACAGGGCTTAGCTCCGACATTTCTTCTGGTTTCATCAACAAGTGCCGTAGGCTCTTTGACACCCTTGCTGATGCAGCCAGCGCACAAGCCGGTGCTGCGATTGGAGTGCAAGATTTTGAGCAGACGTTAAAGGAATCTGTCATCCTCTTGAACTCTACCCAAGACTTTACAGAAGGCAAGAGTCGCAGTGCGGTGCTATCAGATCTCAGCATGTTGAATGCCATGGACCGAGCCCGGTCCAGTTATCGGGCCAATATGTACCGGGCAGGTGCTCTGATGAAGGGGAAAGCTATTCCTCAGATCCTGCTTGGCGAGGTGGCTGGTACACGGGCCTTGGTTGCGCAGGATCTTGCTGCGGCGCACCGTGACTCCGTCGCAGTTGCCGGAGACGAGTTACGGCGGTTGGCGTTGTTCTCCGACGAATGTGCAGTGGCTCAAAGTGCCAGCGAACTGGAGGACAGATCCTGTGAAGTGACTTACTAGTAGCGCAAGCTTCCCCTAGCAGCTTCATGACCAGCTCAAGCGAAGCCTTCACTTGTCGGCTTGTCGGAGGAGGAGCTGGAAAAGGAACTACCCCGCTTGCAGGAGGAGAATCGGCAGTGGAACCAGCAGAGGTTGAATGGTTTGGCTGAATTGACGCTGGCGGCAGTCACTGTGTCCTTGCTGTGTTGTGGGTTCATGCCACAAGGTTTGTCGAAGTTCTCTCACGGAGTGAACTTTTGTGTTTTAGCCTTCATAGCATCAAAATAGGAGCATGCAAAAATGCTCGGCTAGGGGGTAATTCAGGATAATTCTGGAATCGAGGTGTCCGGCTTGGTTCCACCGGCCGCACCGGGAATTGCTGCTGTCATGATGCCTGCTTACGCGCTGCTTGACCGAAGACGCTGTGGAAGCACCCAATCGCTTGCATTTGTTGCCTTCGAATCGCCGAAATCTGCATCCAGTTCTGACTCTGTCAGGCTTCAGTTGTGGCGATTCAAGATTGCTGGTGGGGACTTTTGGCTGATTTGCTTGCCAGACTGCCGGCCATGCGGTGATGCATGACTAGCCCCTGCTAGACCAGACAAACCAAGGACTTTATGGCCAATTCGGCCACCGGGCTTGACCACAAGATGATGGAAGTATTCTCGTTAGTCTTGATGCTCAACATTGAAGGGGCGATTGTTGATTCACATGCGCTTGCTTGCAGAATCTGTCTTCTTTTCATCTCCCCGAGTTGATATTCCGGTGTTGCATTTGCTTCCGTGTGTCGGAGTCAGCAGGTTGAAGCGTTGTAGGTGAAACAATTCGACATCGCGTCTGCTCACGATCCGTCAAGCTGAGATTGAGCTGCACAAAGCCATGCTGCGAACTGAACGCACGTGGGCAAAGGACAGAATTTCTGTTGAGACGCACCCATGACTTGCTGAAGGCTGTGTGTAGCCAGAGCGTCATGAATTTGGGGGAGGTTTGCATTCCTGTCCACTTTCAGCAAGAGTATGCAATACGTCGTAGGGGCACTTCACGGCAAGCTCGCAAACTCCCTTCCGTTGCTGCTGTTCTTCTCATGGCTTCAGGACGTCAGGTCCTGGTTGTCACAGAGACCCTCAGAGCCAACGGCGGCACGACCACTTGACTGACCCTCTGGCTGCGGAAATAGATTGAGCATGGTCGACTGAACAGTGCCGCCGCCACCGCGCTTCGCAAAATCGAAGACCGTTGGAGTCCAGGACGTCAGCTTTTCGCAAGCTCTGACCGGCCGCCCATGAGACAACGACAGAAGTATGCAGCCTGTGCAACCTCGCTTGTGCTACAGATGGCTGCTTTGTGGACAGTTCTGATGAGATGCTACTGGAAGTGTTCGTACAGAGCTTCGCAGCTTTCCCAAGTTTCGGAAAAGCCTGCTGAGCTGAAACGGACACGACTTGGTGCTACAGTGGCGAAGTCAAAAGGCGACCATGTTGATGGGCTTGGCTACTTGCGCTGAATTCTTGTGCTCAGTTCAGTCCATCTTCTGAATCTGAATGATACAGCAGTCTGGTTCAGGAAGTTTTACGAGCAGCCGGCTGCGCAAAGAGCTGGAGGAACTGTCTGCACAGCTGTTCGCCCAGAGTATGACCTTCCACGCCAAGAGCTGACAGGAAGGTCCTTGATTGCAAAAGTCATGACATGATCATCGCAGGAGCTGTTGGGTTTGCAACCTGGCGGACTGCAGGCCTTGCACCATCTTGGCAGTAGGACGTGAATGGACATGTCAACTGCGGCCAGTCCTATGGAAGCTCTCAGTTGATGGGCATTGTCCTGGAGGCGTCGGAGGAAGTGCAGGTCTGCCACTGCTTTGCTATGTACCTGTTTCTGGCCTCATGGTAAGGATGCATAAGCATACCGATCCCTTCTGGACAGATAGAAGCGGGAACCTGCCAGACTGTGTCACAAGCTCTGTTTCATGCAGCCCCTGGAATGCTGAAGACTTGAATCATGCAACGCGGAAGGACGAAGGCAGGCATTCTGCAGATGAAGGCACCGCAACTGCACATCACTGCAGGTGCCCATGTCTGCTTGTTTCTGTCGTGCCTCGCGCCAGGCTGACTTCGGTACTTGGAGTCCAACGTGGCATGTGTCTTGATTCGCCTCGAACCCGCCAATCGGAGGATAGAGGACTCGTGCGAGCAGAATGAGCTTCGACGTGGACGCAGCCAACCGCTGTACAGGCTGTGATCGTTGGATCAGAGCGGCTTGCTGCAGGGCCATGCAAGACCCGCAGCATGTCTTCAAAGCCGCAAAAGTCTCTTTCGGGCTTAGCAGAGAGCACCATCTGCCTGCCTGAGCATGTTGAGACCACTTCACACCTGGCTGACGAGAGTAATGGCTCAAATTCCGATACGGTAACAGAAACCTGGGGTCAGCCTCACCCCTGTGTCCAGACCTCGTGAAGTAAGTCTGCTGATGACATTTCTCCAGCAGTGTTTCCAAGGCAATGAAAGATGGCGTCTGGCCGGCAAAACCCCGCGGGCGGGATCACAAAGACATGCTGACTGCGGCACAGTATGGTTCAGAACGACAATCCACCACACCTGATCTCGCAGGCAAAAGTCTCCATTTTCGGCCTGGAAGCAACCAGGATTTTGGGCGTCTCAGCTTCACCGGGAGTGATGCTTTGACCCGGCGATGTCGGCCCGCTGATGTTCGCGCATTGCAAGATTGCAAGGCAGTCTGGGGCCCACAATATGCAGTCTTCTTGTTTTTGCTGCTGCTTGGCTGCAGCCTTGTCCCACGCATGCCGCACTCATTCCACATTGGCAGTAGTGGAACTCCGACCAGGTTCCTTTATACATTCGGGTTCATGGCGCTGCAAGAGACCTGGAGCAGCACGCAGGGCATCATAACGGTCATAACGTAAAGCGAAGAAGCTCAGCCCGAAGGCCAAGCATCTGTGTGATCTTGTCGGCCTCCTTCCTGATGGTGGCTGGGGTGTAGCCAACTCAGGTAGTGCCAGGAGACAGAGTGTGAAGCCTTACCCATGGCATGGCCACTGCAGGTTGTTTGCGTTCAAGCACGAAGGCCCTGCGACTCTGGAAGTTCCGGTCCAATGCTTTGGAAATGTGCTTGTCCTGCCCCAGTGCGAACCTTCCTTCCGGCCTCTTTGATGTTGCCCGTGGCCACCGCTGCTGGCTCCATCGGTGGCCTGTACACCTACGATGTGTGTGCTGCTAAGTTGTGTAAGATGTTATTCGCCATTGAGCATGTAACGGCAGTCGCATTTATCAATCTCGGTTTGAGTGGCTGCAGGTATGCCATCTATCCACAATTCTACAGCAACGCTCGGTGCTGCTCGCGAGCTTTAAATGTTAGATCTTGGTTGTAGGAAGTGTGTGCAAACGCTTACCCTGGCGCTTTGATCTGCCAGGGTGTATGCGGATGTGCTTCCGTCTCAGCCGAGTGCTGCAGCCTGTCGCCAAGATTCCAGGGCAGGGTGTGAACAATGACTGCAGCGTATTGGCCCATTGCTTGCCCATGCTTGCGCTCAAGGTGGCGGATGCAGGCAAGCTCGTCTTTTCATCATCGGCATTCGTAAATGGCTTAACTCTGCGGGATTTCAGCAGCTCCACTTGCATGTGCTAGCAGCTTGACCTTGAAACTTGAACGAGACGTCAGGTGGATATCCAGCATTCAGTGTCCTACATCACCGAACGCAATCGTCCAAGCACAAGTTGACAAGTCATCACATAACGGCTTTGTCTTCGCATGTCTTCGCTGGGCATGTTGAGGTGGGTCCGTCTTCTGCCTACACCTCGGAGCGACTTGCTGTCAAAACTTCCCACGAAGTCTCGCCAGTTGTGCCTAAGGTGTCGCGCCTGTACGTGATAGCAGCCAGGTCCAGCAGATGCAGGACGACGTGCGAGTGTGTCGAATGTGCGGCTGTGGTTATAAAGCTTGATTCCTACCCACAGTACTGGGCCGTGGGCACTGGCTGCTGCTCCCTGGAGGGAGGAGCGAAGGGATCCAGACACGGGAATGCTCAGTTGTGTCAAGTCAGAATGGCAACAACAGTATGAGAGCTGATCACTGTGTGCAGGAGACTTCTGGTGTGATGCTGCCAAGGACAGAAAGGTTCCTTGCAGCGTGATGCGGGAAGACTCTGGAATGGGGTTGCGCACAAGTGTAGGAGACAAACCTAGGCTTTCTTCGGTATGTGACTGACAGGCAACGGGTGGTATTGTTATCTTCGACAACGAGGGCTTCTTCTCATCTAGCAGCTATGACGAGTACCGCAAGGACATATGCGTTTTTGAACAGCTTTATGCATCTTTTCCCTCTCAGCTAGGCGAGCCGGAAAGCCGAAGCAACCTACCAGCTCATGTCGGTCTCGGAGCCCAGGCTGTGACAGCTCCTGTAGGGCCCTGTTAAGTCACTATGGCCGGGTGTGTTGATGATACGAAGCTGTCGGCAGGTACGTGCGCTGGGTGCTTCCCTGAGCCTGGCTTAAGGATTCGGTCAGTAGCAGCGCCGGACTGACTTCACTGCTGTCTCGCTTCCCAAGGTCATGGATGACAACCTGAATGCGCTTGCCAATGAGTACAACATTAAGGCCAGACGTGGAGGGACCCGAGTATGAAAGCCAGTCATCAGATGCGATGCGGCACGGACACTCGAACTAATCCGGCAAATGCTGACACGCCGTTTTCAATTGTCTGTCTTTGAGTTTTTTTTCCGCCGCGTCGGCGCAAGCATACTGATGCATGGGATTCTTAAAGTGCGGACCTGCTGCCCCCTGAGTCATCGCAGTTGGGCGCGGGAGGCCTGCTGACTTAACTGTACTATGGTACTAGGTCAGGCTCATCATGGATCCTCACCCCCCAGGCTGAGCAAGCAGGCTGGTCCCCTTCTGTTATCACTCGTAAATATCGGCTCACGAGAGCCGCCACAGAGTGTTGCATTTAGATGCAGAGGGGGCGTCCCCGCTCCGTATTGAGAGGTTGATAGAGGTTGAAACTGGGCAGCTGGTCGATGTTGAAGTGGGATTCGGAATGCTAGCTAAGCTCTGCACGTGTCAACTGACGCACCTGGCAGACCGCCCTTGCCCTTTGTGGAATGGCCGTTGCATACGGCGCCATCTCATATGGGTTGGCGGAAACCTCGGTGTCGATTGCTATTGCGAAGAGCCAACCAACTCTTGACATCATTGAGGTCGTCCTTACAGGCTGACCTCTCAGAATCATCAGTCCACGCCATGCAATCAATCTGCCTGGGACTTTCTGCGTTTCCCAGGCAAGCTGCCGTGATTCGTTTCTACACCCCTCCGAGCGACCAATCCATGCGATCATGGGAAAAGAGCCTGCAGCAACTTGTAGAGCTGCTCTCAAATCGAAACAAAGTCCTAGAAGGAGGGGCCGACGACAGAGCTGGTTGACCTGCACCTGGCGTCTACGGTTGCTTGTGCCCCCTCTACGGCTCGAGTGAACAGCAATTTCACGTAGGATTCTTTTGCAATGCCGCGAGCCACCGTGTCATTTAAGCATGAGGAGCAGGTCGGCTCCTCAAACCGCGCTGTCGTATTATAATTAAATGCTGCATTGACGGCCGTGTCTTACGAGACCGAGTTGCTTGAACCGAGAAGCTTCAGTGTGCAGCGCAGGAGTGGAATCATGAGTTCGAAGTCGACGCAGCCACAACTGTGCTAGACCTCAAGCGAGACTTGGTGAAGGAGGCTGTGTTGGACTTGCATTGGCTGACCGGGTTTTGTCGGGGCTTCACTGGTTTGCATCTGAGGGAAGATGACATCCTCTGCGCCCGAGCACGCGGCATGGTTTGAATTGTGCCTTCATCTCAGCTTGTCGAAGTTCGAGCAGCGCCCTGCTGATAGGCAATCAGAGATCGAAATGTTTGCTACACGACTCTTGAGAATGCTGTGATTGGGCCCTTCCCGTCGTCCTACGTTTGAAAGCCTCCTGCCCACCGTGAGCCATGGATTCGAATAGACTCTGCGTAGGTCGAGAGGTCACGCAGGCTGCGCCGGCTACGTTGACTAATGTGGTCGCATAATGTAAAAGAGGGAAGCTATTGGCACAATGCCGGAATCCTGCTTTTGCGTGGCAGGTTCAATTATACTTAGTATAGCACAATCGAAGAGTCGCGCACATGTAGCCTGCTTTCAACCAGTCCGGCTGGGGGTACGAGTGGTATGTAGCCGATTTGGGTATGTTCCACGTGTTCGTGCCAGAACTGGATCACGTACCCAAGGGAGTTCGAGCTTTTGATTCTTTAGTATAGGCCTCGAGGATGGCATGTGTAGGCTGCACGTGACATGGCCTTAGATACCCGTTCTCGGCGTAGAGTGTCTTCTTTCTGGTGTCGCAGACAATGTCCATACGATTGGCGTGTTAACTGTACGAAGGCATATATGAAGGTTTTGAGGCTGGAAGACAAAGCCGCATAGGCAAAGCTCGAGACATGTTTCTGTAGGCAGTTTGTCCAGGCAGTTTGCCCAGTGTGCGACGTTGCAGCGTGTAGCAGCGCGTAGCCCTGCGCAGGCTCTGCAAGGATGAGAACAGCCCATAGAACCAAACAAAGCGCGACTCACGTTGGGAAGCTGAACTAGCACACAACGTTAGTTTATCTGGCAACGGACACAGCATGCCTGAGATAGGTTCCGTTCCGACTCCGACGACTCTAAGTAAGAGACTATGGTAGTAGACTTAGCAGCTTTTGCAACAGGGCTGAACGAAAACAATTGTAACACTCTTTGGCACGGCTCGCGATGGGCGCTCAAATCTTAAGCAGATTGGCAAGCTTCAGACTCTGAGCTCTTCCTAGGCAGGGACGGCAGCACAGTAAAGAATAGCGACTTGGTCGATCCGCTGGCATCGCACTCAGTTTCAGGCTGGTCTGCGACACAAACGAAGTATCCATGGCGTCATGGGTTCCCTGAGGCGATTTACATTTTCCATTACCTTGGTCCAAGCGGAAGTGATCAGGCCCGCGGCTGCTTTGGAAAAGCTGTTTCAGTTGTTCATGGCCCAAGCGGCGAACATACGATGCATCTTTCAGGACAACCTTGAACAGCATGTCGCCGGACTGACTGCAGAGGACCACGGTGCAGGTGAAGGTATCCTGATCTGAAATTCCAAAAGAGGCGCTCAAGCTCAGCATAATGAGTTACAGCCGTGTTCACTCGGTAGATCTGCAGGATCACGATGATCCATTCCCATCTGCCCGAGAAGAGCCACGGCCACTGTCAGCACCAGTGGCGGCTGCAATCGCGGAACCAGCCGTTCCGCGCTGGAGGATAACAGGAGGCCCGGTGGCGCGTGGCGGAGCTTGCGGAGACAACTCGTTTCCTGCCAAGGTTCGGACAAAGGCGGCATCATCGTGCGACAGTCCGAATCATTGAAATCTGCCGACCTCGGCCGCGTGCCTGCCTGAGCACATGTATGAATCTGTATGCTGCTGCCTCAAACCCCAAGCAAAGCAAAGACAGGGAGAGAGACAGAAGGTGCGAGGGAAGGGGCCGGACATGCCCTGACCCTCATGCCTGGTAGAGACACAGAGGGAAGAAAGGGAACTTCCCCTTTGCCCCTGACCCTGACGAAAGAAAGAGATTTCTTCTGCGGGGTGGTGGACTACCTTCTCTTTCTTTGGCTATGTGGAAGAAGATCTGTTGAGAGACCCCAATGCCAACCACTCCCTGAAACAGCGGGTGGTTGGGGGGATCGATGGCATGAGGGCGCACGCCGACCCCTACATCCAGCAGAAAGAAACAAAGACATTTCTTTGCAGATGGCTTCAAACCTTCTGTTCATGACGAAAGAGGAAAACGAACCTGCACAAAGCAGCCTCGCACGTGCACTTGCCGTCTTGCATGGCCAGCCTTGTAGGAGATGTTCATTATGGACACGTGATGACAATGGTGCTCCATGCAGTTGATGCCCTCGACACAACTGTGCTCCAAGGATGGAAACCCGAAAACATGCGGTTTTTGGATCGCCAGCACGATGCGAACATGCCAACACAGGGCCCCCCATGCCCGACGTCTTCACAAGTGCCTTGCGCCGAAAGCAATCCCAAATGGCTTGGTGAAAGTGCTTGACTGTCACCACAGGTCAGCACCGGAGCTATTGTGGAGGAGATCGCCAAAGTTGGAGACCGGCTCTGTTACAGGTCTGCGTTCTGCTTGGTGTTGCGCGCAGGTCTAGGTGCAAAACGTGCATCATCCATTGTGAGGCTAGAAGAGGGCACTGGACCGGCGAAAGGCTGGGCCGGAATCTCAGGCACTCCAGGGTCTGCGAGGGCTTGTGAGATTATCATTGGGGTCGCTTCCGCGTGAGTAAGTGCCGCATACGAGAGCGTGACCCCACACGGGCGAAGCAGGTAGTTGTAGGTTAAGAAACTGACAAATACAAAAACACTCTGAGACGCACAATTCTGTTTACCGAGGTGAGCATCCGCGTTTCTGGCAAGGAACTTGCTGAAAAGATCTCTTGATCTGCACTTCGCCACATGACTCGCTCAAGCAGTGCGTGTGCATGAGGTCAACTTTTCCAAACGGTTTCACTTTGCACACGTGCCACAAAGCACTGTGGCTTGCTGAGCAACCCGAAGAGTTAATGACCGCAACATGGCGCAGCAGTGCTTGACAGTCACCGATGGCCCGCCCCAGCCTCTCACGTAACAGCCTGTGCATGCCATGTGGGTCACGTGACTTCGAGAACAGCATTGCGCATCACTAAACCTGCGAACTTCAATGTTGATGATCTTCGTTTCGTGCACGCTTGCAAGCCTCGCTGTGGTAGTACCAAGTCACTCCAATGCAGCCGTGCAGCCCTCAAAATGCTTCAGTCTGCCAGGAACGCAAAGCAACGTGCATCAAAGTGCGGACCAAGTCAGTAGCCGGATCAAGCACTTCCAAGCAGCTGGGCATACTGCTTGAGACTGCATGATCAAAATCCCACCAACTAAATTAGCATACCGACTATGAGACACGGATCAGATCAATAGGACTTTTGCTTGGCTTCCATTTGGCTTTGCGTCAGGCTGGAGGTGACGGAACAGATGGAGGTCGCTCTTTCACTCTTGGAGAAGCCGAAGAAAGGGGGTTGCAGGCGCGATCTGTCCGATGAGTCCGTCTCCTGAATTGCTAGAATTACTGTAACTATTGGGAGCTTGAGCGCTGCGCAACTTCAAAACAGGTCTCGTATGGTTGAGTTCTGTCTTGAGTACGGTTTCGTCGTTTCAAACACACTCTTCAGAAAGCAGATGACCATCTTGTCACTTATAAATCTGTTGGAGTAAAACATTGGTCACCGCCGTGGCAGCTACATAAATATGCGCAAATGGACTATATCATTATAAACAATCGATGGAAGAATGCCATCAAAAACGTTGACACGTCCTACATCCGCACTGTAGATACAGATCACAAACTTTTGATTGCGAGTGTGAAGTTTCAGCTGAAGGCCAACCCTCCTAAAGTGAACACTTCGAAGATGAAGTTACGTAAACCAGACAACATTCAGTTAAGTCATTTCAATGCTGCAGTCGCCAGTCAAGCTCTGCAAGAATTGCAAAACACTAATGGTGCGGATTTAACCTTTGACCAGTTGAATGCAATTCTTCTCCGATCCGCTATGGATTACTTGCCTATACAACCTCCCGAACAAAAGAAGGAGTACATATCGCACCGCACATGGGCTCTTTTAGAACAGAAGTGGCAAGCTATCGAAAACCAACAATGGGATGTAGCTGAGTCGATTAGCAAAGATATTACCAGCACAAACCAAAAAGGATAAAGAAAACCACCTCCTTGAAGAACTAGAAGCAGTTACAACACAAGGATATAAATGGAGTGGCCTCAAACGTCTCCGCGCCAAATTTACTCCTAAATTCACCAAATTCAAGAACAAGGACGGTACATATATCCATCAAGCTGATTATCCACAAAAAGCTGCCGAATACTTATCTACAATCCAATGGGGTGGTTCCTTTCGTCAACCTCATTCCCACCTCAGCCGTCTAGAGAGAACATTCC